CCAAATATCCACCCGCCTGGAGCAAGCCCACTCCTTGTCTTGCTTAGGCCACTGCACAGGGGGTCCGGAGATGACCAAATATCCACCCGGACGAAGCAACCGATCCACTTCAATGAAATACGTTGCATCTACAAAAGCCATATTCCTTCACATTAAGACCAGAGAAAAGAGGCAGAACATAAAATAAGAACATGAGAAAAGCACTCCACAGACTTAAAAAACCTACTATAAGCTGTAAAAGGGATCAGGCATCGGGAGCAGTGAATGAAGTCAAATGCAAAAGCAGGAAACGGGAGTCTGCGTGTGCCAAGCATTAGAACAAAGGCCGGTACCCCTCTTTCCAAAGCAAATTGTATTTGTGCTTTGTGTGAATCTCTTGGAGCAAAGGAGAGTGTCAAAATGCCTTCTGATAACAAAGAACCCCCAAAGCTTGCAACCTGCAAAAGGAATAATGAGCACGATATTCATACAGCACAAACTTCCGTATTAACATAGTATCAACTTACCCCGCAGCCCATATCGAGAGCCGTCCTAATTGTTCCACCTGTTATAGGAATGTACTGTCCAAGTTTCTCTATATACGGTGCAGCTCCATCAGGGAACATTGTTCCACCGCCAGGGAAAATAAAGTAAGGACCTTGCTCTTTCATCCATCCCTGGTGACCTTTCCTATCAGCAATTTTGTTGTGTGGCATATTGGAATGCCATATCTAACCATTAAAAAATAGGAACTGTTTTAAGTAACACTAACAAATTACTTCCATTTCAAAATGAATAATAAATTATATTAACTTTAAATGAAACAACAAAGGATCAATTCTATAGATTTTGTGTTCAATTATCTCTAATGAATTCCCTTTTAAAACATATATTATGGTAGCACCAAGGGAGCAATTTAAGGGATGGCAATAACCAAACCGCTTCATGGATTTCGTCGGAACATTCGCAAGATTTTATGTTAGCAGGCAAAATGTATAAAATTTGGGGGGAAACTTATAAAATTTTAGGAGACAAACCTATATTAGGTGAGAAGAATTTTCAGGAGAGTGACCACCCCGTCAACCCCCCTCGGTCTATCCCTGGATTTCGTCATAATCAACTCTCAATGGGCAAGTTTTTTAACAGAAGTGAATGCAGGGGTGGAGCAAGATAGTTTTGGTAAAAATGTGGCTCCGGCTGGCCGACCGGCCAACTTTTAAAATTACTATTTTACCCATTATAATATTAGATTAATTTTAATAACTTTGACATATATATAAAATCATAAACATATTAATATATTATAGAGATTTATATCACACACATACTAACATACCATGTACATATTAATTTCATAAGCACATACTATAATTGTGTTTATGAATATATATATATATAAACACAGATTTTTACATTATCAATTTTGAAAATGTGATGGAGAGTAGCTGATCCATCGAAGTAATGTTTCCAACATTCATACTTGAGTTCATCACAAAGTAAATTCTCAATAATCTCTAATGAAAACCCAACAAAACACACAACTTCTTGAAATAAGTAAATAAATACCTTGTGCAAGCTTTCAGGCCAGTGAACAGGAATCTTATACCCAAGCGGGGGAGGGATCAAGCAAAGAGGCATTTCATCAGGCAAGGGGCAATGCCTTTCTCTATAAAAATTCATCTCCCTGCTCAGTTGACTGTTCCGCCTGGGATCCTCACACGGCATATGATCGACGGAATCAGGAGGGCAAGCTTCGATGGGCTGGCGGTGGTGGCCTTGCTCCAACAGCGCCACCAAACGGTGCCGTTGCTTCGGATCCGATGTGGAAACCAGCAGAGCCTGTCTTCCGGAGGCGGCCATGGAATCGCCGAGAGGGGTGAAGACTAAGGCGAAGAACAAGAGTACCAAGGCGAAGAACAGGGCGGAGATGAAGTCCAGAAGCTTCCATTGGCGTGGGTTCCGTTTGGACGTTGGTAGATTTAAGTGACCCATGATTTGCGGGATCATTGATGAGATTGAGCTTCAGTGATTCATTGAAGTGATGAATCCGGGAAAATGGAAGAATGGGATTTTCAGATATCTCACCTATGTGTTGGATACTAAATTGGGTAAATTCTACATTTTGGTACCTCAACTTTATTTGAAAGTACAGTTTAATACTTAGAGTTGACTCTAAGGTACAATTTAGTATCTGAACGAAGTAATTCAATTTGGTTTTTTAATTTGATTAATACTCGAAATTAAATTAATATTTTAATATATGTCAATCATAAGATGTGTTGTAATAATAGTTGATATTATCTCTTAATTATATGCTTTATATTTAACCTTACTTATTGGTACAAAATATATTTTATGATTCATCATTTATTTCTTTAGAGATATTCCATGATGAAGTGATTAATTATTGTTGTCGATAGAAATATATTATTTTTAAAAAATATATATAATATATAACTTATATATAAAGTGAACCTATCAAACAACATCGATGATTAAATTGAGCGTTCTTTTTTCTAGAAGGCTCGGATTCGAAAAGTTATGTCTATAAGATTGTGTGTCGTTAATAACTATGAGATATTATGAATATATATTACATTATAATTATCTCATACAATTTAAAAAAATCACATGTGAAGTATGTGATGTTAGTCTTAGGAACTTAACGTTTCAAAAAAGAGAAAATAACCTCAGTGACCAAAAATCTTAGATAATATACGATTTTGACCAACTTTTTTCGGATTTGCGAAAATGACCAACAAAATCGCAATGCGATCTCTAATTCGCATTGCGATCTCCACTATCGCAAATTCACGTTGCATTTCACATTGCGATAGTTGGAGATCGCGTTGCGATTTTTCCATTTCGCGTTGCGATAGTCTACAGTTGTCGTTGCGATTTTGTTTCTTAAGAATTTTCTCTAAAAATATAGTATATGCGCGGACGTGTCGAAGAAACGTATTACCACGACCACGACGAGACGAGACGAGACGAGACGAGACGGACGGCGGCGGTGCGCGAGAGTCCCCCTTGTTCTCTATCACTCAACAAGGAAGTGGGAAAGCCAAGCCTTAAATACCATTCCCAATAGTGTTTCCAATACAATGTGGGATTGAGCATTACCAACACTTGTTTCCAATAGATTTATTTAGACGATAAATAAATGTTATATTAATTAATTATAAAAAATAAAATCATTTTAAAGTTATTTATATTTTATTAAAATAAATAGAAAGTGTAATTATAATGGAAGTAATAATCATTTAATCATAACTAATTGAAAATTAAATTTAAAGCAAAAAGATTAAGAGTCAATTTAACTAAAGTTATAAAGTCAAGGGGTTAGTTTGCGTTTAATCCTTTTATATTAAAGTCGGCGGATCTAAACTAAGATCAGTCATTTTGTCCTTCACAGTGGAATCACACATTATGGAGTGATTGGGAGCATGTGGAAGGTGGCGTATGGGGTAGAAAATGTAGCTGTCATTTCACTTTTATCCACCTTTGAAAATCATCTTTAAACCTTGGGTAAATTATTTAAAGTGTAAACTATACGGGTGACCCTTTATATTTTTAGTTCGTTCAACTTTAGTCACCTATTAAAAAAATGGTTTTGATTCCTTAAATTATCGATTCATTCGATTTTAGTCGGTTAACTCCATTATCCTATAAAGTAAGTCTGAATTGAAAACAAAAAAATAAAACAAAAGTCACGAATTGACAATTTAAAAATAAAACAACTTATTCTTCTTCTTCTTCTTCTTGTCGTTCAAAAATAGTGATTTATCATTTGTTTTTAAAATGAGATTTTAAAGTCGGCGTACCAGCTTAAAGTGAAAGGCGATTTGGCTGAAAAAATTACTTATGGTCAGGATCGTGGTGGTCTAAATTCTCTGCATGTGACGGTGTTGGATGGACGAATGCATGTACTGAAATATCTCATCGACGAACTGAGAATGAATGTTAATGTCAAAGATTTTTATTCCAATGTCACATTTTAATTTTTTTTATGTCAAACTTTTTATTATTTCTTCCTGTGATTTTATTATTTCTTTTTAAATGTTTTAAAATAAATCTAAATTAGCTAAGAAGAACACAATCATATAATTTGACATGAAAGAATTGAAACGCGACACTGAAATAAATTAAAAAAACAATAAATATATTTGTCATCTTTCACATTAGGATCTAGTTTTGTTTCGCTGACGGGATATTTCAGTATATGTGTTCTTCCACCTAACGCCGCCACACACGTAGACGGACGTGGAATTTATGTTTGAGATGAGTAAACTTGAAATTATAAAATTTAAAAGGAAACGAAATTGAATTTATAATATTTTAGAGAGACGAATACAAATTTTCAATGGAAAATATATAGATAAAATCTAAAATATATGATAATTTTAAGTTTATAGGGGTGGGACCGCCCCGCCTAAGTTCATCCCTACCGCCACATGCAGAGCATTTAGGCCACTATGATCCTTACCCGGAGCAATTTTTCAGCCAAATCGCCTTCCACTTCCTGTCATAGTTCTAAATTATGGTCACGGTTACGATTATGGTTGTTATATTTTGTTTTGCGGGTGTTGTGAACGTTACGACGTGATTTATTTTCTAAAAATAACTGCGAATTTATGTTATGAATGTTATGAATGTTAATACTATGCTTCCTGTTTTCATAAGCTTTTTGTCACATCAAATGTTAGAAATACATTATGATATTTTGCATGTTACATTTTTAGTTGTTTATTTTGCAATCTAGTATATATGTGCTTGATACTTTTTAAGATATTGTAGGGAAGCTTCTCCAATTGCTAATTTCTAAAAGTGCTGAAGTCGATGCTAACCCTGCTTTTCAGGGATGTACATAGAATTTTATGTTAGTGGAGATAGTAAACTTGAACTTTTAAAATTTCATCGGACGAACTTAAACTTATAAAATTCTAAGAGGTAAAAACATATTTTCAATAAAAAAATGCATTAAAAAATTAAAATATTTAATAATTTTAAAATTTCAGAGAACTTCCGTCCCACCAACCCTCTCTGTCCATCCTTGCTGCGTTTGGCACACCACTGCCAAACATAAAAGAATGAGGGTTTTACTTGATATGAAACAAAGACATGTTTAATCATTTTATTTGCTGATTGTCGTGTTTCAATTTTAGACAGCCAAATGCATATTCTGATGATGACTTGTGTCTATTGGTTTTAGCAATCACTAAAGGGTCAATTGAATGTGTGAAGTTGTTGGTTAAGATATAATGGGTCAGTTGCTTTTACTACCTTCTAATTTGTTCATAGCAGTTTGATGCACTAGAACCAAGGCCAAATATTGGCATTAGAGGGGTTGGTCGAGATGAACTTTGGCATTGAAGAAGAAGAAGAATAATGACCCATTGACTCTTTTGATTTTTTTTAATTATCGACTTGTACTTATGTTAATGAACTCACGGAAATTAATAGGTGAGAGACTAAAAACCAAACGAATCGATAACGTAAATGATCTAATCTACTCATTTTTTAAATCAATGACCAAAATCGAACGAACAAAAAATTATAAGAGATGACATGTATTTACCCTTATTTAAAAGGTGATTTAACTATGAGTTTAATAATAAGTATATTATTTTTTAAAAAGATAGAATAGATCATATAAATTAAATAGTAATATAATATTATATAACAATATTTTAATCTTTAAAACTTCTATAGTTGATTAATTTAGCCTACATCTGAAATCATTCAATAAATTTAATATTTCTCGACAGAGAAGGAAAGAACCCAGATCAATTGATTTTTTTCTATTAGGTAAACTGTACGAGCAGTCCATTTGTTTTCGATCTGAACGACTTCGATCATCAATTTAAAAATTAAATGTGTTTGATCCTTTACGTTATCAGTTCGTTTGTTTAAGTGCCTCAATCGTTAGCTTCCGTTAACCCATTAACAGACATATTATATGATAATTAAAATATAATATTAAAGTCTATGTGTCTTCTTCTCCTTCTTCAAAAACAACTCCAAAGATATTTGGACATGAACTAAGATTGGGCGGTTCAAAGCCTCAATCAATTAGTATTAACTTCTCTGAAAACGGAAGATGAGTTTGGCTTCATGTTGGAATCGACTTTATGGTAATTCTTCTAATGAATGTCTAAGCGAATGTTGTGCATCGAATTGTAGAAAAATGGGATTCTTACACTGACTAACATGTTAGTGACTAGTGCCTTCGTTTCCATGAAGGATATGTACCCTAGTACTTTGAGGAGGAGGAGGATTCATTTTTTTTAAATATTTTAATTGTCACGTAACACTTCTGTTAAAGGGTTGACATGATTTAATGGCTAAGGGACTAAAACCAAACGAATCGATAGTGTAAGGGATCAAACACGTTTAATTTTTAAACCGATAATCAAAGTCGTTCAGATCGAAAACAAAGAGGACTATTCTCATAGTTTACCCTTTCTTATTACGACGATAGAAGTTTTTAAATTTTTTATTGACCATATTTATTCGATTTATGAACTGATTAATTTAGACCGGGCATAAATATTAAAAGTAAAAGTAAAAATAAAAAGGAAGAAGAAGAAGAAAAGCGAGTAACTTAATTCGATGTCACGTGCCTGATTGTATTGTGTTTAAGTTCTGAAAGATCGTGAAACGGTAAACGGCAGACGGGGCACGTGGACTGTTTTCTTAACCATACGTCGATGCAAGTAAGGTGAAAGTAATGGCCGCACTTGGGCATCATTCTTAGTACTACTTTCTCCTCGTACTCGCCTAGACATATAGAGCATCTGTGCTCAACGTCAACAAAACATGTTTTATTTTGAATTTTTTATTCTTTTTAGAATAAATTAATTTAAATAAATTTAGTGTTTTTTTCATATCTTGCAGCGTTATATTGGAGTAAAGTACTTACCGGTATGCTTTATTTTTTCTTTAGTATTTAATTTTTGGTTTGTGGGTACTAATTGTCTAAAATATATAATGAAACAGAAAAAATAACATAATGGTTTATTATTTTTCTGCCACAAAAGA